AACAGAAGAGAACAGAAGAGAACAGAAGAGAACAGAAGAGAACAGAAGAGAACAGAAGAGATCGAACAGAATTTAAAAGTTGGAACGTTTCAACTGCGTATACTCCTTACCTATTAGCTAAAAATTTCGTCCATAAAGTAAATCAAACTCTCACTGTACATGAATATTCTAACATCATTATATAACCAGTACCAATACTTACATACTTGGTGTTTGATAAAAATTGAGTGGACAAAACTGTCTTCAGTTTTTTATAGCTAGTGCATCATCATAGCTACGACATTTTCCTAACTACTTCATTAAATACTACGTGTAGTGGTTTGTTTACAGGATTTTCCCGCCACCAGCGATATTGATTCTAAGCAGCCATTGGCTAATCACGACGATGATAAATACTGGTTCTGAAAAATTGAAAACATGATGTTACACAGGAAGCCCAAATAGGAAAATCAGTATCAGCCAGGCTATAGCTAGCTACGTCCTCTCTATGCCTTTCCTCGACTATTTTTTATGGACGAGGAGAGGAACCAAAAGCTCCACTTGCGTATTTTTAATTTAAGTTTTTTTGAAATCATTGCCAAAAACATGGAGAAATTTAACCCAAATATGTTATCCCGCGCAGAAATTTGCACAGAGATAATCAAGCGGCCGTCGTCCTTGGCGTCCGCGTCACTTGGCGTCCTCGTCCTTGACATCCTCGTCCTTGGCGTACTTGTCCTTGGTAGAACGTCTGTTGATGGTCTTTAACGTCCTAGAGAGAACAAGAGAACGGCAATGACAAGGAAGAAAGCGCATACGGAGAAATCGTTTTAAAAACGTGCTTGCGCCATCGTTTTGGCGTCCGAGTCCTCGATGCTCAAGGTCCCTGTGCGCGTGCGTGTTTGAGGAATACACCTCTTTATCTTGGGCGAAATGTTCGATCCCCATTTCAGACCACGTGTCGTTTACTTGAATAAGATTCTTTTAAGTTGTTTGATTTGTATCCATATTCATGTGTCTTCTCATGTGCAACACTTAAACAAAGAAATGATGCTCTAGGGAATTACACATGGTCTATAATGAGAAACGATACTTCTTCCACGTCAGAGGAGGAGTAGTGGCTTCGTATGCCTCAAATCACGCTGTGTTTTTTTWAAACAGACACTTAAAAATAGAGGTTTTGCATCATCACGTGACGGCAGCCATGTTCAATGGCAGGAACGATACAATCGTTTTACATGAGAAAGAATTTAATTTCCAAGAGCAAAGGGATTTTATTGTTCTGCCATCTAACCACAGGAAGCCCAAGCAGTATTATGGGATGGGCACGTGATGGTGCAAAACCTCTATTGGGGGATGACGATGGCACTGATGATAGATAATGGACCCTTCTTCAAATTATCTTGAATGGGAGGCTAACATGGAAATACAAAAGAAATGCCACAAATTCCATCGAGAAAAAGTGTGAATTTTGTATTTCCATCAGTGCCTAGCATACACAATAGACCTCTTCGGCTCTGACGTAATGTTTTCCCATTTCAGACCACATGTCATTCCCTAGAGTATGATTTCTTTAAGGTTTGAGCTCGGTTGCACATGAGAAGACACATGAATATAGATACAGCTCAAACAATGAATCTTATTCTCAAGGGAATGACACGTGGTCTGAAATGGGAAAACATTACCCCAAGCCGAAGAGGTTTATACTTTTGAGAAAGGTGCATTCTGTCAATAGAACAAAAAATTGATTGACAAGAAACTGGAGTAAAGTTTGGCTGGTTGGATCATACATGCATGTATTGCTTTCCATCCATTCATGCAGCCATTCAAGTTCACTAAAATTCCTTCACAGATGCGGGCGCCCTGACGTTCCAGGTGTAATAGTCACATATTTGTCGTATTATAATAAACCTGCTTGAGACAAGTCTACTGGAACTGTCGTAATATGACACAACAATATCTCGCTGAAAATAACTTTCTATTTTTGAGCTCACTAGAATAAATGAAACTAGAAACTGTCATTTAGCTTAAATTACAAAAATTTAAGAGAATTGAATTTCTAGCCTGCAACAAAAGCTGATCACAGGACCAAAATTCACGTCAAAGTATATTCATTATTTTTTTCGTATCAAAGTAAAGACCCAATAATAAAAAGAAGGCCAAAATGCCATTCCCTTGAGTATCATATTTTCTTAATGATAATAATAATAATAATAATAATAATAATAATAATTTATCAAGCATTATATACAATCTCGATGCTTTACAATTAAATTGATATATATATATATATGAAGAATATTTAGATAAAAGGTTTCTTAAAGAGGAAATGGGTGTGGTCTATTGATTTAAAAAAATTGGGAAAACTTCAAATTCAAACACAGTGTTTAAAAGGTCTTCAATCGAAATATCACACCAAAAGGGTCTTAAGAAGACCCTTTTTGAGTAAATTTTCTTCATATATAAATATAACTATGAATAAATAAAAACTATGAATTTACAAGATGATTTAAATAATAATGAAGAAATAGAAAACGCGCGCGCGTGCTGTGTGCTGTCATAAAGCACGCGGGGGTTGGCAGAACATGAGAGAAGTGTTAGGAGAAGCACGACGCGTAGCGGAGTGCTTCTTGACACTTCTCGAGTGTTCTGCCAATCCCCAAGTGCTTTATGACAGCACACAGCACAGCAAGCAAGTTTTTTATTTCTTTTATAAAATACAAATTACGATAATAGATAGGAATGACGCAACGGAAAGTGGGCGCGCGTGCAATGTGCTCTCATAAAGCACGCGCTCCAAACCAATCAGAACGCGACATTCATACAGTTATTTTACAAAGAATAAATATAAATAAATAAAAATAAAAATATAACTATGAATGACTAAAAACCATGAATTTACAAGATGATTTAAATAATAAATATATACTTATAGATTAATGAAAAATTAAAAGAAATAAATGTGTTTTTAATTGAGATTTAAAAAGTGAATTCCACAACTTAGACGCAGTCACAGCAAATGATCTGTCTCCGTAAGACTTTGTCTGGTGACAGGTGACAATCTGAAAAAACGAAAAGTGAAAGACCCTAAACTTCCGAAACTGAAGAATGTTTTGACTAGCCTTTCCGGCCAACAACAAAACAGTCATGCAATATTTCACAATAAAATAATATCTAACATCCTGCGAGAGGAAAATCCCCTTATAATACAAGAGGAAAACACACTTTTTTTTTTGTTAAAACTCACGCGGTCAAGCTAAAACAATTCTTTTTAAGCGGTTTATAATTGGTGAGTTTCGAAAGTAAGTTTCGGACCAAATCCTCTTAGACATTGATTAAGCATGTTTCTTTTCGATCTACTCTTATTCTAGCCACAGTAAAAACAAGCTTGAAACATAGTTAACAGTGGCGCCGGATCTAGGATTTTTCAAAAGGGGGGTTCCGTTTCTTAAACTGTGTATAATTCTCTTTTGTTTAGTCGATGTTTGACAAAAAATGGCTCTAATCACCTAATTTACTATCTAGTAACGGAACTTAAAGGTAAATTAAACATTATAACAGCAAATATCTATCATTTCGTGTTCAACATTATCTTTGTGGATACTTTTAAGCAACATTTATATAAGACATATTTCTTTTACCTAAAAGATCAAACCTTCAAGGGGGGTTCCGTGGACCCCTTCGACCCCCCTGGATCCGCCACTGGTTAATACTATGCTTGGGAGAACCATTTTTTTGTCACTGACAATCCGAAACCGCGTGTACACGACGCGACGTCTATCAGTCGTTTGAAGCCGAAGCAAAAGTGAAAATATAACGGCTTAGCTTTAAAAACACGCATTCTAATTTTATAATAAAGATACAGAAAAATAGTCTTGTGAATGTAATAATGGCTTATAAATAAACTATTTTGTGCTGTTAGAAATCGAAAAGAATAGTAATTTTTTAACGTAAGATAGTCAAAAATTTTCGCTATGACTAATGCAAGTGTCAGCTTAAAATTTTGTTCCATAACAATAGCTTTAATTTTGCTCTGAAAAATAATAATAAAAATAATATAAAACCAACAAGGGAACGAAAGGGGCCGTAGATAAGTAAACGTGCACTGAATAAATGGGAATGCGAATCTCAAGAGAACATTTCTTGTCGAAATAATGTTGTTATTTTGTACCACACTTTATAGTTTCTTTGTTGAAATGACACCTTTTTCCCCCCGGAAAATCAAATCAAAGCTTCTTGAAGCTTTGACTTCTTCTACTAAATTGATTAAAATTTAGAAGTTGATTTTTATGAAGGGATGAAAAACTGTGTAAATCCGGAGAAAACCCTCGAATCAAGGCGGGAGGCGGATCTTAGATGATGAAACTATGCTCGCATGCGATGCCAAGTTTATGATTAGATCTGGATCGCATTATAATAGTGAGTACCTTCAACTCTATATGTCCCATGCTTTACTTTACCTCCTTACTAAATCTGCCTCGCCATCTACTCTCTCTCTATTTTCCTGAGCAAAAGTACACTACAAATAGAACCGAATTTTCTCAATGAGCTGTCGTCTTAGATGTATCAGTTCTCTTGGAAGTTTGCTTTCCGCACTGAGGTCATCATCACGTCAAACGCCATACACTTATTGCTTACTATCAATCACGTGACTTTTTGGAGTTGACTGGGGGGCAAACAAGCGGTTAACTGGGGGCAACTAGCGGATGCTAAGTCAAAACATATCAAAAWAAATCCTCAAACTATTGTATTTGACTATTTTCACGACATCAAACCAGAAAACAAGAGATCAAAACAACCTCCAGGATTCTACAAGCCATCAAAAAAGAGCTATTACCGGAAGTGACGTCTATTGATAGCAACCTATTGAAAAGAATTACAGTGCTGTCCTCAAACGTATAAACAACCTTAGTGGGAGTTCTACCGGTGCTATTGTTGATTACAAAGTAATTTTGACTAACTAGAAGTTTTTTTTTTGAATTGGATAACCTTGTTCAAAATCGATCTTTATCAGGTTTTGTCTTTCGCAGCCCGCCCACCGCAAGTCCCGGTCTGCTAATCTCTCACAAGAGGAACGGATTTGAGGTTCAGTGTTTAGTCTGATCGAAGGCAAACTTATCTGGAAGGAATTCTTGTACACTTGATTCGAGAAAAACCACCTCGTTGGCCTTTATCAGAGGTATAGTGGTGGCTGCATAGTTAGACGTCTGTGCAACAGCTTTGGTTTAGATTATATTAAAAATTACTATGCAGCCTGTGCTTTTTACCTTATATCGACTACAAATCGACCATAGCCGAGGTTATGTAAACTATCGACCAGTAATCGACTACTACCCGAGCTCACATGAACCATACCTCACCATACCTTTCACTGAGCATATCCGACCATATATCGATCGAAATTAGTATAGGTATTAGGACTACTTACTGTCCAAATTGGAAGTAATTGGATGTAAAAAATTCCAAGGACTGGGAAAATTGGAAATAAGGCCGATAGGTCGAGTTCAATTTTGGCAGTCCGAGGAATTTTTTTTCGTATTGCAGATTAATTATTTCATCCCAAACTATACTAGACTGATTTCACAAGTCATAGTTTCCCCCAAAAAGAATGCGAATGGAAACGATCCAAATAGTAATCTTTAATATGGACAGACATAGTAGTAGTAGTTTTAGATTATGCCGTTCACGGTGTGTGTAATGAAAATAGAGAGAATAAGAGAAAAATATCAAATGCCTTTGGCGGGAATCGAAAGAGAATTTGAAAATAATACAATAGCTGCTTATATGGGATTATAGAGTGATGATACAATTAATTAATCGGGTTAATTCTTCAACAAACTATTCCAACATGTCCGACCAAAAACCTTGTGAATTTATATAACTTGTTTGCACGCGCGCGAGTTTAGGCGCGAAACGTTCCCGCCAAATCCACGGTACATCAAAATAAGCCAATGAAAACATCGCCAAGTCTGATTTTGTCACCGTAAGAATATTGAGTAAAATACAGAAATAGAATAATCAGAAATATAATAAAACTGATTCAGTAATCGGGCTCAATTATAGTCCGATAAAGGAATTTTGGCTTGGAAAAGTAATTCATTGTGATTGATTAGATCCTCAATAACCTTGGAGCTGTTGAAGGTGTCAGCCGGCCCCTGAAAACATTGAATACAGTGAACAACAAGGTTAAAGTTGAAAAGGTAAACTGATTAACCGATTAAATTCTAAGTGACGTGTTAATATATATAAATATATATTATTAATATTTATTATATAATTACCAATGAAATATCTATTTTTCTCTATTTCGAAAAATTGATATCTTCACACGTGAAAATAACATGYTMTTTTCACGTGTGAAAATAACACCATTGCGATGGCTATTCAAAAATACACGGAAAGAATTGCCTGAAAAAGCCAAAACATACTTTCATTGATAATTATGTAATAAACAGAATATTACATGGGCGCTTGGAGATACGAAATTTATCTTCGAGTGTTGAAAATCTCTCACTCGTTCGCTGCGCTCACTTGTGAGAGACCTTTTCAACACTCGAAGATAAATTTCGTATCTCCGCGCGCCCATGTAATATCCTCTATATACAGTCAATTCAAAAAACGTTGTCGTCGACCTGCTCAAGCCTACGCGACTGGACCGAAAGGAATATGGGTAAAAATCACTGAAGCGATTAAATATTCGTTCTGAATAAATTGTTCCCGCTAGTAATAAGATAATAATAGCGAGAAACAATCCATCAAATGCATGTCTTTGGGTTTAAGGAAACAAAAACAAAGTACTTATTATTCAGTTCACAATTTCGAATGTATGAAGGCATTTAAAAAACGTCTCCTTCAACACTTCCCGCTCGCCTACGAAGGTTCGTGCTGTAAACCAGGCATAACTAGTCAGATAAAATTATGGAGTCAACTCGGCTTCAATGATTGCTACCCAGAGTTCCTTTCGGTCCAGTCGCGTAGGCTTGAGCTGGTCGACGACAACATTTTYTGAATTGACTGTATGTTGTTTATTGAGCTCTGAAATACGTGTTACATGTGTTTTAATGTCAAATTTATCCTTCCGACATTGCACAAGAAAACACTGCACTGACGCTGAAGCTGTAATAAAAATGTTTCTTAATGTGCCAAAACGCGTGACTTAATGTCTAATTAATCTTTTTTTAGTTGTGCCCAAGAAAACATTGCACTGAAATACAATAGGCAAGTCAAAACAAACTTTAAATCAATTTTACAAATTACATTTCAATAGAGTGCTCACACTAAATCCGTGAAACAAATACTAATTTTTAGCACTAAATAGTGATAACTAAACAATAGAAAACAAAGGATTCTGTATGAAATAGTAGTAATTAGTACTATTTAATGTTCACGGTTTTAGTGCGTGCACTCTAAAACACTGAATTAGTGAATTCTGGATTTTACAGTTCAACTACACCAACCAAGGCCACGCAGAGAAATTTTCATACGAATTAGCCAATCACGATTGAGTATTTAAATGATAGAATTTGTACACATTTTCATATTTTTTCCTTTAAAATCATATATTTTACTTTATGCGAGTGTGTGTGTGCTGTAGTCGCAGAGTCTAATCCTGAAAGTATCGTGTTGATGCATGTCTACTTAGTCTTTGTTTATGTCAACAAAAGAAGAACGCTGTTGAAACTATTACATTTCGGGTAATAGAGAGAGAATTTATTAACTGCGTGGTTTTATTGAATTGATATCGTAACTTAGCAATCTAGAGGAGATTACAACATTTAGTTTAATCACTTCGTCATCGCTAATTGACTTAATAGAATATAATTTAGGGTTTTCATTTTATTTAATACTATGTTGGATCGATACGTCGATATATCGGCGTTTGATGTATTTGCGGATGGAATATTTAATCAAATCAGTTTTATTTCATTTATTGGATGAAGAGTTTTAATCTTTATTGATCATCATGGGTTAAATTTTGGTTATTTTGCTCTTTCTCCATATCAACCGGATGTGGCTCTTTTTTTTTTTTTTTTTTKTTCGTAAAATCTTCGACCGAATTTTTTAAAATTTCAATCAAAGAAGTAGATGTTTCTTTCTTCCTTTCTCTTAGTTCTCGAATAAGTTGTTTGTTCATGAATGTCGATCCGAATCTTGCTCAGTAATAATATTACTTACTTCGCGTGCTGTTATCAACTTATCTTGGTATAGTTCAACGTCTCTATAGTATAATCTGCAACTCGTGTTTATCACTGCTGATACGAAATCAATGAACTGGCCACTGACCAAACCGTGTGCATAGCTGGTTTAACTTTTGATCGAACAAGAATAAACTAGCTCATGCATGTGCATTCCTCGAGGACAATTTGATCGCAATCGATCCCATATATTTTTCAACACCAAAAAAAATCTCTAACGTCAATCAATCAACAAAAAGCCATTTCACTTCTTTTTAAAAATATTTTATACCGCTCCCATCAAATTTATTGAAGTCTCAATCGCCTTAATTAATTTCGCTATGACATTAACAAAAGTTTCGCCAGCAGTGCCGGACCACCGATCAACCGTTCATTGCGTCGATATATTTCTAATCATTTATTCATTAATTATTCATGAATGCATATTGATTATATATAAATGTCATATTGCGGAACTCTGGATATTTGGGTTTGGCATCCAGCTGAGGTTGGTTTGAAATTCAAGACTTCTTTCATTCTAGCTTGCTTAACCTTAATACTCGTTTTGTCCCGGGGGCCAAAGTACGAAAAGTACACGTACTATGATCTGAGAAGTAAATTTGAGCCTATTTCCTGCTGTAAAATGAGTAATTTTACGTCTAATACAAGAGCGGAAAGTGAATGCTTGCTTCCATTAGAGCATGGCATTATTCTGATTATTCTGAATATCATTTCAAGCGTCTTCGGAAGTATTGGAAACTTATTGGTCTGCGCAACGATTTACACCACCACTGGTCTTCAAACTATTTCCAATTATTTCCTCGTCAGTATGGCAGTTGCTGACTTGATCGTAACTGTGGTGGCACAGCCTCTTCTTGTGGGCTTCCTCGGCGCAGCAATCGATGGTTCGTGTGCCAATATCGTGGAGTTATTGTTCAGACTTGCAGCGAATATTTCCTGTGCTGTTTCTGTGATTCATCTGTGTTTCATCAGTGTTGATAGATGTCTGATGGTGACGAAACCGCACAATTTTAGTCGGATCATGACGAAAATGAGATCTCGAATCCTGTTATTGATATCCTGGGTCCTGCCGATTATCTACGCTGTTCTGAGACTGAAAGTCAGCAAGAGGGCGACGTCTCTGTTCACTGTTGCAATGATGGCCGTGTGCTACATGGTCATCGTCATCAGCTACACCCTCATTATTATCCAGGTACGAAAACAACAAAATCTGATGCAATCACGCCAAACTGCCTACTCGGCTGGTAACAGCAAGAGAAAGCGTGACCAGATGGAACGACGTGTCGCCATGACAATAGGCATCGTCATCATAGTGTTCACCATTTCCTGGCTGCCCATATTAGTACTGAGGTCACTCAACGCTGACAAGAATTCCGGTACAGCGTACAACTGGGCACGCACGTTGGCCTTATGTAATTCAGCAATGAATCCATGGATCTATTGCTATCGTATCCCAGAGTTCCGTGCGGCCTACAGGAGGCTGTTTATTCTGTGTCGCTGGGGGCAAGTCAAGGGAAGTGGTCTTGGCGAAGCGGAGACGACTATGACGAGTGAGTCTGCTACGAGGAATCAAGACGTTCATTCCTTTGAGCACGACAATGTTCCTGTCGACGCTGGTAGCGGCAAGAATCAGCATAGTTCAATGAAGATAGTATCTGTCCAACCAGAGTGTGAGCAGTCCCAGGGCCTTGGTGGAGACTCGGCCACGCCTGGCAGTGCAGGGGACTAGTACATTAACACTATCAAAATCTCCTGTTTCGTGTTCTCAGTTGCTCGATCAGGTTTGCATCGATTTTCATGTAGAAATTTAATGTGTTGCAGTTAAGGTCCGGTGGAATTTCAAAGTCGGCCAGTGTTTGTATTGTTGAAGTTGAGGATTCTTTACTTTCGCGGTTGGTATTTGTGAATATCTGTAACTACCAAACTATACCAGTCATCGTTATCTTCAATCATTCGCGACATTATCACCATCATCTATCACCATCATCATCGTCATTACCGTTAGTCCGATATCATCTTTATCAACACCACTCCATCATCATCATCATCATCATCATCGCCTTATTGCCTCATCATTGTCATCTTCATCATCACCATCATTATCGACATTATCATCATCACCATCATTATCACCATCACCATCATCATTATCATCATCACCATCATCATTATCATCATCACCATCATCATTATCATCATCACCATCATTATCAACATCATCATTATCCTCATCACCATCATTATCAACATCATCATCATCATCATCATATAACCCCCATCATTCCATCCCACGTCATAAAACAATGACAACCACTTCAATAAACAAACAAAAACAAGCTAGTTTTTTGCGGGTCGTTTTTTGCACCTTATATAGGTACCTTAGCGTGTGCTTATTTAGATTACTATACATATATATAGGAAGGAATATCTAAGCTAGTATTTTATAATCCACGTACAAAATTAAACTTTCCGTGCGAATTCATAAGTCAAGCAAATCACTTTAAATTGTTAAAATTTTGCACTAGACTTCACAAAATTCAAATAAATAGTAAATATTGAAATGTAGTTCCAAGTCAAGAAATTATTTTTGGATCATTTAAGATCAATAGAATAAATGTAAAACTGTAGCCTGCGTCACATCCGGAATTATCTTCGTAAACTTACGAAGAAAATTCCGGAAGTGACGCAGGCTATAAAACTGTAAACAAAAAAAAACACAAATTATATATGTTAACTTTTGATATCGAGTCTAATCAGTAAGCCTTGATGATCATTTATTTGAATAAAAAGTTTTCTGCTGTAGAAATTTTTGTTTCATGTTATATATTTTTTTCAATTTTTTAAACTAGTGATGAAAGTGTAGCATACTGGGTTTCCTGTGTGTTATTGTTTAGAGCCTGGGACGAAATTTACAACGCAGGCATACAATGGAATTTGCATGAACTTGTGCTATATAGTATCACTAAAATTTAACGGTTAGCTATAGAGTACAAACACTAAAAGTGTGCAACACTTTGCACTATTTTATGCTAATTCCATTGTTTTCTTTTGTTCTGACTAGCACTATTTTGAACAATTTAGTAAACAGTGTTTCACGGATATATCGTTCGCACTCTATCCCAAACTTTGGGTAAACCTTCTCCCTCGTACAAAAATAAAAATAGTATTAAAGTAAATAAAAAAAACGGAAACATCTTTTTTATGAACCAGACCACTGTCCAAGTGGTGGCTACGGCCTCGTAAAGGCAGAGGCGGTCCAAGCAAGGTAATAAGGAAGGAATATGGATTTATAGTCGCATGAATCATCCATGGTGGAGTGCATACCATATATCCATCAAAAAGTTAACTTACAAATTAAGATTGTACAAATTAGTGCAAAGTTTTGTAGGTCTACGGTCTACTGAAGCCAGGTCTACTGAACTAATTTGTGCAGATTTGAGCAATTTCTTACAAAGTTTTCAAAGATTATAACAGTCTCAAAGCAATTTGTAGTTAGCTTACCAATTTTGCATGCGTAGTCTTGCTGCTGTCACTTCAAAAAGAGCCAGCTTAGCCCATTTACGGTCCTTTCAACATATTCTAGAATAACCGAGTCCTGGTTCAATAAAACTCCCTGACTTCACTGGCCTGGCCTGCTCCTTTGTGATCGTATTTGGGCTCCTCGGGCTTCCTGTGGAGTGGAGGAAAAAACGAAGGGGGAGGGGAAGAGGAAAAACACAGGAATCCCATTTACTTTCTGGAGAATAATAGAGTAGCTGAAACATTTTGCTTACATTAACCGACCTGAAATACTTTGATTTTGGAACATTTTTACATCCTCAGAAACAAATAAAAAATTCGTCAACTTATCTGATTCTTGTACCCATACCCAGATTTACAGTGAAATTAATAGTCTGGGTCCAGGATTTATTTATTTGCATTTTATGTTGATATTTGAAAATGTGTCCCAAGTAATAGACCTCCTTGGCTCTGACGTAATGTTTGTCCCATTTCAGACCACGTCATTCCCTAGAGTATCATTTCTTTGTTTAAGGTTTGCACTCAGTTGCACGAGAAGACACATGAATATGGATACAACTGAAACAAAGAATATTATTCTCAAGGGAATGAATGACATGTGGTCTGAAATGTGACATTACGCTCAAGCGCTCCAGAGCCGCAGAGGTCTATGGAATTTCTCTCACTGTGATTGGTCAAGTGACAAGTGTTTCCTAGATGATAATCACTGGTCAAGCAAGGATTATGAGTTTTCCAAAGTTTGCCAGTACAGAAGTAATACTAAAACGTTTTTTTATGCTGAATTTCATGTTTTCTCTGATATTCAAGTCTAAAATTATACCAAAAGAATAATTTTCATTACTCTCCTCATTCTTATTGAATATGGGGAATATTTACCTTGCCGCTTAAAGATTCATGCCTTGGTAAATATTTGCTTAGCTTTTGACAGATAATATTGTTAAATAATAAAAAAGCAGGAGCCCACTACCAAGCATGGTGTTATAGCAACTTATTTATTGTAAAGTTCAAAACAGTATGAAATGACGACATGTTTGTTAGTTACACTCAATTGTTTTATGTGGTGTGTGGAATAATTAGGTGTAAACAGGTATTTTTTCCTAATTTCGAAGTCTATCTACACAACTGCATTTCATCCCTGATGAAGGTCTCAATTCTCCTAAAAAAATCTGGAGTAAAAAGGTGAAGTTCAGTAAGGAGAATTAAGACTTTACATTCTGGTGCTAGTTATAAAGTAAAGCTAACGTTTAACAGCGCAAGAAACTCTTTTTCGAGCAGTGTTTTCTTGCCTTACAATGGAACTCTGACAAGGGATTCGGAATTCTAAATGAGCTCCGGGTACAACAGAGAGAAATATGCTGTGAATAATACCAAGTTGCTTTGACAACCTGAAATGTACAAATCCCCCCGTGTACCAAGTAACTGTACAACTGATCATTTTAACGGGAGGTTTTCTTTACTAATCATCCTCATCTTCATCTTCCCTCTTTCTTTTTTCTCCTCTCGCTGTCTGTTTTGTGGGGTCTTCGTCTTCCTCAACTTCTTCTTCGATTTCATCTTCATCCTCTTCTTCTTCTACCTCATCTGGGTCGAAATCTTCCTCTTCTTCATCATCTTCATCCTTTGAAAAAAAAGAAGAAAAAAAGTGAGAAAATAACTATTTAGTAAGAAAACTAGTTATAAAAGACAACGTTTGGCTGTCATCTGGACAACATCATCAGGTCTAATGAAAACTGTAAACTCTACTATATGTAAATATAGCTACACCTACTTGCAAGAACGTTGTCATACGAAAATAGAACATTAGTGATTTAGTGAGATAGGAATTATATTAAAAAACAAAAGATCMCTGAAGCTGAACTTTTTCTTTTGTCTTTTAATGTATTCCTTTCTCACTAAATTACTAATGTTCTATTCTTGTATAACAATCTTCTTGCAAGTAGGTTTAAATAAAATCAAATCAAATAACTATTGTATATGTATGACTAATGTTGGTGGGCACTGGAAACAACTGAGAAGCACTAGTGTAGTGAATGGCTAATATCAAACACAATGAGCAGCATGGGTGGTGTATGCTGTTGGCACTTCGTCTTTCATTGGGTTATTGGTTTGAGGCCTGTGAGCACCATACGTGAATTGAGTTGGTTTGATGTGTACTTCTCTCCTATACTGTGGGTTTTCTCTTAGTTCTTTTGAGTCCCACCTGGCTCGAAGTTGTATGTGAGTGGAGTTGTTTGTTGGTTCTTTACTGTGCTGCAAGGACTTTCCAGGTTCTCTGGTTTTCCTTCCTCCACGAAAATTAATGTCTAAATTCCAATTGGAATTCAGTGTAAGAAGAGCTACTCTGTGGAAACCACTGTTCATCCCATTATTATTATTATTTATTTTTGTTCCCCTTTCACTGACATGGTTATGGTTTCCACCCCTGGGCTCAACTTGTAATCATATGTGAGTACAGAGTGCTACTGTAAAAAAATACTTACATTTAGATTTTCCTTCTGTAAATATGCTAAACCGGGTGTTTCCTCTTCACCATCTTCATCCTCATCTTCGTCTTCCTCATCGTCATCATCATCTCCCCCTGGAGATTAAAGATAAATAGACTTAATAGTCATTCCAACTCTGTCTCAATATACGACTAGAATCTGCTTGTCTGACATTATCAATGCCAATTTACAGTGCAACTACTATAACTGGGGCCACTAAGACAGAAAGAACCAATCAAATTGTAGAATTAAAAAAAATACATTCCCACTTAGGGTAGTGGAGCCAATCCAAAAGCAGCAGAAAACAATAGCCTCCTGACATTTCTATTTATCCCACGAGAAAATGACAATGGCCTAATTACAATTTTTTGCATTCTAGGTTTCTGATTGGCTTGACTACCCAAAGTTGGAATGCATTGTATTCATTCTACATTTTAATTGGTTCTCTTGTCTACAGTTATCCCTGTTTATTTTCAAGTTTATTTCAAGCCCTGAAAGATTGTCTAATGTGGAGCAATCGATCATTATTGACCAATAGAGATAAATAATAATGAAATGAACGAGTAAAAGGTATAGGAGTATTGCTTCAAATTTGCTTACTCTTAGAGCACTTTCCATTAGGCCTAATCTACCAGTCCGAGCAGCCAGATCTAAATTGGTATGCATCAGTTCTTTAGAACTGGTTAGTCAAGGCCTCAAAACCAATGAGAACTGCAAGTACCATTCGAGAACTGGCCGCTTGGATTGGTTGGTTCGTCGTAACGGAAAGTGCCCTTGGAATATGAATCAGAACAAAAAAAAGCAGGGTTTTGATAAGACCAAACAAATAATAAGTGTGTTTCGTGTTGCACGACTGACCCCAATTTTCTTGCTGATTCTTGCCGCCCAAATAGTTTTCATTTCCAAATGCACTATAGGGTTCTCAAAGCTCATTTCCAAACAAAAATCTGGCCTACCAACACTAATTATTTTTCTCATGCAACAGGAAACACATTCATTTTTTTGTTTGGCCTCAATATTCCGAGATCAAAGAATGCTTTGGTAAGTGGACAATCCATGATCTTTTATCATTTCAAAACTTTATCAATAACCCTGCCAGGAGTTTCTAGCTACTTCATGATCTTTTATCATTTCAAAACCTGATAAAAGCTCTTGAAAGCAAAGAAGTTAGTTATAAAAAATAAAAATAAAATAAAATAATAAAAAAAGAAAGAAGTTAGTTATGGCTGAGGTGAATCTTACCTTCTACTTCTACGACTCCATCATCATCATCATCATCACCTTCACTTGATACCCCATCTTCTTCTTCATCATCATCGTCGTCATCGTCATCTTCATCATCTGAAAGAAATGAAGTGCATATTAGCATTAGACCTTTTTACTGATAAAGTGGCTATTTTGAATTGAATTGTTTAAACTAAGACATTGGATGCCGACTTAAAAGACACTATGAAATAGGCCCTTTGCAGTTAATGGTCACGTGTCTGTACTGGTGAGCAAAATTTTTTATTTATTTTAAATTGGTAATTGTTTTGAGCTACTCATAAAGAACTGAATGAAACAATGTGTAACCAGTTGTGTTACGAAATGTAGTTTTATTACGATCTCTCAAAACAGGTTAGATAGATTTCAACAGGTTGGCCCATTCAGCATAGCTGGTATCCATAGGGGCCCTGCATAACAATTAAAAAATTCCTATTTACAATTTAAAAAATGACTATTTAAGTTCTAAGTCTACAGTGACACTAATTTACGATTTTCGAATATAATTGTTGCTTTGGGTTAACACTTTGATTCCACTTTCATTGCCATCTCCACTTTYAAACAAGTTAAACTTTCTGAATGACAAGATTTAAGCCTTGTACAACAGCCTTTCTTCAAGAAAATAGTTTTTGGCACTCACTGATTGAATACGAAAAGAATTCTCTCTTAATAATAATAAATAAGACTATGAAAAATATGGCCTAATGAGCGTCGTAGAAAGTTTGTTTGCTCACCAGTTTATTTCACCCATGGGAATCAAGATGTTCATTCATTTATTCTCAGCAAATTAATCAGCATGTGATTACTGAGCTGCAAAGAGCCTATTTTAGGATGCTGGCTTAAAAACTCCTAGTTTGCTCTCATATGCTCTTTTATCAAACCAYCAATAAGGAATGTTGACAACAATTTGTATGTTTTAAAACCTAAATAAGGATGTGTGTGGGTGGAGCCATCGTAGTATTTTTCTAACAAAAACACAATTTCTGTGGTTTTTGCAGTACAAGGCCAATGAGGTCTACAGACAGGGTACAAAATAATTTTCCAGAAAATGCTGAAATTTGCACGTTTTTTTTTTTTTGGCTGGCTAATTTCAATTTTCTTAATGAAAACAGAAATTATTGAATGTTTTGAYTCTTTGTGCCTACAAAACAGACTGCTTTTGAGGGTAAAACATTATGATAATAAATAGTCGTAATAATTTATCTATCAGAATAGCTATTTTTCTTTATTTAATTTTTGTGTTTTTTTGCTAGAAAATCACAGGCAAAGGTGCCAGACTTGCCCGTTAAAGCCAGCAGCTGCTTTGAACCCTGTACAGAAGGCTATAGTCATTATAATTTAACAGCTTACCATCATCATCGTCTTCATCTTCATCATCGACATCATCATTCTCATCTTCATCTACAACAGAGTAGATCAACATTACACACTTCATTCCTAAAAATACTATTTCCTGCTAGGAAATTAGAGTAGTGCGCTTGAAATACTWATGTATGCTGATTTTAAGCCTGCACTCTCTTCTATAATATATGCACCATCCCTCATATGTTCTACGAATGCATATATCAGTATTTTATAAAGGCTGGTAAATTCAATTTTTGGAAGGAATGGACTTTTGTTAATATTAATGAATAAATCAAAGCAGACAGATAAGATGTACCCTAAATATGAACCCTGAAACAACCTCTAGGCTGAACTAAGTCAGCCCATGGCTAACTCACAGCTCAAACCCTGAAACAACCTCTGGGCTGATCTAAGTCAAGGCATGGCTTACTCACAGCTCAAGCCCTGAAACAACCTCTGGGCTGATCTAAGTCAGGGCATGGCTAACTCACAGATCAAACCCTGAAACAACCTCTGGGCTGATCTAAGTCAGGGCATGGCT